CGCACACCCGGCTTCCCCTGCTCGCCAGAAGGCTGGCCACCATGGCGGAGCGCCTCAAGTCTGTGGACTACGAAGTGTTCGGGAGAGTGCAGGGTAAAGCTTGACCCTGGGAGGCCAAGGCGGGGCTGTGGGAGAGACCGGAGAAAGCAGTCCCATCCTTCCCACGGCTGCCTCTTCCTTCCGAGGCAAGGACTTCCGCCCAGCCATGACACAGCAGTCGCGCGTGGGAAGGACGGGCATTGCGCGTGCGCGGGAAGGCGGCGGGAGGGCGGCGGGAGGGCAAGGTCACTCAGGGCATCCCTCCCTCCCGGAAAACTCCCAAGCCGGTAGGAAAAGCTTAGGCTATTGGTCAGAAACGGTTATTGGGTTTAGCCAGGATACCTTAATGATACTGATGGTTTACTTTGCCAGAGGTTGTCGTCTCCCTCTAACTAACTAGCAGTTTTTCCTTCCTGGGTTCTGGTGATTGAACCTTACACATTTGTGCCTGGTTTTGTTTTGTTTTGTTTTGTTTTTTTTGTTTTTGTTGTTGTTTTGCATTTGTGCACTATACCACTGAACGACACAATTTGAATAGAGTTTTCAGGTTTTTCTTTCATTATAAGCTTGAGTAGTTGCACAGAACATAATGTCTGACTTATTGTAAATTTTTTTTTATTTGTACATTAAAACCTTAAAACATTCTTTGAAATTTACCTAACGGGGCTTGACATGGTGACCCACGCCTTCCTTAGGCAAAAGCAAGTGAATCTCTCTGAGTTCGAGACCAGTGTAGTCTACACACCGAAAATTATCCAATGGAATATAAATACTGTAGAGATTTAATATAATTCATTTAAAAAAAGAAAGTCTTTTTAAGACTGGGGATATAGCTCAGTTGGTAGAGTCTTTGCCTAATATTCACCAAGCCCTGGATTGGATACTTTTGGTGTGGTGGCATATGCCTATAATCCAGGCAGCACTTATGAGGTAGTTATATATATATCAAGTTGAAGCCAGTCGAGGCTCCATGAGACCTCCCAAAAAAAAAAAAAGGTTTTTTTTTTTTTTTTTTTTTTTTTAACAGTGATGTAACTTAGTGCTTGAGTCCGATTTCCATTCTACCTCCTCATAATTTTATCCCAGTATTTAGTATGCAGGAGAATTTCCTACTACTCACTCCATCTGCATCCCTCCCCCCAGATGTGCTGTGAATATGTGTAATCTAAATGGGGTACTTGATACTTCTATTAAATTTCAGTAGCAGGAAGCTTTAATGGTAACCATTAGTGGATTTAAAAGGTGAGTTTGTACTGGGAATTTATTTCTAAGCAGGAAAGCTGGGATTTTTTTTTTTAATGGAAACTTATTTAAAGAGGAGGGAAGTATCCTTTTATTTGATATTTTATGGCTATTTTACACTTTGGGGCAGTGTTTGCAGGGTAAGGTTAAAAAATGGAAGTGTTTTAATTGTTGTTGATTGTCCCTATAAGGAGCCTCTGTTTCAGAGAGTTGTTATGAAAAAGGAGGTAGGGAAAGAAAATCACAACAGAAAAAGCTGAGGTCAGGGTTAGGAAAGAATGCCTGAGGAAGCTGCAAGTTTGCAAACCGATTTCCTTATAATTCCTGGGTTTGTACCCAGGCGTCATGGCCATAGCACCCATCCGATCCTCTCTGACCCCAGAATCTGAGTAATGTTGGGCCTGGTTAGTACTTTTGATGATGTGGTAACTTGACTACATCTGGAGTTAACTAAAGCCCCCAAATGGAGGGCACATCTGAGAGGGATTTCTGCTTAATTTGAAGATTCCCTTCTAATCCAGATCTTTGAGGTGGAAAGACCCACCTCTAATCTGGGCCACACCTTTGGGAACCTATATAAGGACCTAGAAGAAAGAAGCTTTCAACTTTTGCCTGCCTGCCCTCACCTTGCTAGCAGGTCCATTCCTTTACTGGCATTGGAGTCCATTTCTTCAGGATTCTGGCATATACTAAGACCAACTGAGACATCCAGTCTCAAGAACTGAGCAACTATTGTATTCTTGGACTTTCTACTCATAGCCAGCCATTGTTGGATTTACAGGACACAGCCTATAAGTTATTCTAATAAATCCCCTTTCTATATAAAGAAAGATTCATTCTAGAAAACCGTGACCAACATAGATTTTGGTACCAGAAGTGGCTCTAGAACAACAGAAGTATAAAGATGTCTATTAAGTATCTGGACTAGGCTTTCCAATTTGCCAACATCTACAGTTACCAAAGCCTCTCCAGTTACTAAAGCCTCTCCTGGGAGCTTGGAAAGCACTAAAAGCCATGGGTGTGAATGGCTTTACAAACTTAAGGAGATAAACTTAAGGTTCATGTAAAGTAATGGTTTTACAAACTTAAGGAGTTGAGGTTTATCTCAACTCATCAACTGAGAGTGGAAATGGATTTGGTGACTTGGTATGTAAAACTTTTGAGTTTGTGGAAAAATAAGGAAAACGATAGTGCTGGCTTGTTGTTTCTAGATCTCTGGATAAACTGACAAAGGAAAGGAAGAGCTCTATGATAAAATTAATTTATTTCTAGAATCTCAGAATAAGGTGATAGACAAAAAATGAACTCAGTGGTAAAATTGACTGGTTCCAGATATACACATAAAAAGTCTAGAGGTTTCTAAGTGTGCCCTGGAAAAGAATCTTCTCTCCTGGCACTCAAGTTTTGGAAAATCAAACCAAGGTCCTCATTATAAGGTTGACTGAATTTCAGTGAAAATTACAAGTTCTGGCCTTGGAGAATGTCTGTGGCTAAGGTAAAGAGTGGGACCCTGTAACTTGGGATGGGACTTTGTAGAAGGACCCTATTGAAGGTGAGAACTTGAACCCTCAGATTTTTAAGGGTTTATCTCATCTGAGGAAATAGTCTCTACCCCCTTAGCAGAAGATGTACTCCCATCCTACTCCCCCTTTTCACCTTGAAGAGGAAATTAATCCTCCATTATCTGATAAAAAACATAAAGCGTGACTTTCTCTGAAGGAACTTCCAAGCAGATAATATTGGCATTCTTCGGGGCCCACCACCAATAGTTGCCTCTAGACCTGTAACCAGACCTAAGGCGAAGCAGGCTCATAGAGGTGAGGTAGAAAGTATACTTCATGAGTAGGTATGCTCCGATACTGAAGACCTTAATGGGTTTGCTAATTCATTCAAGCAGAAGTCTGGGACTATGTGTGGGAATGGATTTTAAGGGTGGAGGATAATGTGGAATAAACATAAAACTGTGTCAGGCTGAGTTTATTGATATGGGTCCACTAAGTGGAGATTCTAGGTTTAATATGGAAGCTCTCACAGTTTAAAAAAAAAGTGTCAAAAGTCAGGTTGAATGGTTGGCTTAAGCATTTATCAAAAGACACCCTACTGAAAAGGAATTGGAGATGCCTGATATCCCTTGTCTTGATGTTGATGAAGGGATTTTAAGGTTCATGGAAATTGTAGTGCTAGAATGGGTATTCTGTGTAAAATCTAATCCTCCACAATGGGAAGGTCCAGAAGACATGCCTGTCACTAATTCTATAAGACATGAAATGGTGAGAGGAGCACCAGTACATTTGAAGAGCTTTGTTGTTGCCAGACCTTAGGGTTGGAGACACTGCTGCTTAATTGGATGAATTAAATGCAATGGGTTTAATTGGGCCCAAGGTAGCAAGCAGCAGCCATGTGGCAGCACTGAATCATCAAAGGCAAGGTGACCTTGTAATGGGCAGCATAGACAAAGCAATGTCCGTAATGGCCTAACCCATAATGGTCATCGCAGGCAAAGAGAATCTTAGGGCAGCATGACCCATATGGACCTTTGGTACTGGCTTTGGTATCAATCATAGTGTTTCCATATAAGAAATAGAAAGAAGCCTACTGAATTTTCATTTGATCTGTATATGTGGGGAAAAAAACTCAAATTAATGAAAGAAAGGCTACATTTGATTATGGCAAAAGGCAATCAATTTCCATATTTGAGCCAGGTTGCAGACTCAGAATCTCTTGAATGAACAGCCAGGTTCCCCTGAAAAGGACCTTTATAAAACACCTAAGTTTTACTGTTAGCCTTTCTCCAGTCCTGCCCGGAGGAATCTGTGGCCTTTTACAAGAATAACTATACACTGGGGGAAAGGAAACAGTCAGACTTTCTTTGGTCTGTTGGATACTGGTTCTGAATTGATGTTGATTCTAGGAGATCCCAAGAAACATTGTGGCCTTCCAGTTAAAGTAGAGGCTTATGGAGATCAGGTGATTAATGGAGTTTTGGCTGAAGTCCTTTTCACAGTAGGTCCAGTGGGTCCCCAAACTCATCCTGTGGTAATTTTTAAGTCCCAGAATGTATAATTGGGATAAATATATTTAGAAGTTGACAGAATTCTCACATTGGTTCCTGATCTGTTGAGTGAGAGCTATAATAGTTGGAAAGGCTAAATGGAAGCCTTTAGAGTTGCTTCTGTGAAGAAATACAATGAATCAAAAACAGTATCACATCCCTGGAGGAAGTGCAGAAATTAGTACCACCATCGAGGACTTGAAAGATGCAGGGGTATGGGTTCCTACCACATCTCCTTTTAGTTTTTTTATTTGACCAGTGCAGAAGGACTGTGGAGAATGACAGCTGACTATTAAAAACTTAGTCAACTAGTGGCTATAATTGTAGCTGCTGTGCCAGATGTGGTGCCCTTACTCGAGCAGATTAACACATATGGTACATGGTATGCAGCTATTCATCCAGAAAATGCCTTTTTCTCAGTATCTGTCCAGAAGGACCACCAGATGCAATTTTCTTACAGTTGGCAAGGCCAGCATTATGCCTTTTACAGTTTTACCTCAAGAATACATTAATTGTCCAGCCCTGTGCCATAACTTAGAAGAGATCTTAATTCTCCGTCTCTTCCACAATATTTCACATTGGTGCACTATATCAATAGATGGCATTATACTGATAGGAGCAAGGGGGCAGAAGGTAGCAACATCTGGAAGCAGAGGTTTTCTTTTGTTCTGACCATCCAGTCTCAAATTATCACGCAGAAGAGTATATTAATTATGAAATGTTTGACCTATAGTTCAGGCTTATTACTAACTAGCTCTTA